CCCGCGCCCGGGAGTGGAGGAAATTGACGACCGTGGAGCTCTGGGCGAGTGGCCTAGCGCGCGCCGAATACGGCGTGCGCACTATAGAGGCCATACGCCCACAGCTCCCGGAGTGGCTCGGGAGGAGACATGGCTCCCTGACCTTCCGGCTCACACAGGTACTGTCTGGGCACGGATGCTTCGGGCGGTACCTGTGTCGAATCGGAAGGGAGGAAACGACGTCGTGCCACGGGTGCGGCGACGGGGATGATACTGCGCAGCACACCCTCGAGGTTTGCTGCGCGCATGAAGAGGAGCGCCGCACCCTGGTGGCGACGATCGGGAGCGACCTCTCGCTTCCTGGCGTCATACGCGCTATGCTGGGAAGCGAGAGGTCATGGACAGCGGTTGCCTCCTTCTGCGAGTCAGTTATCTCGCAGAGGGAGGCAAAAGAGCGGGAGCGCGAGGGAGATCCCCTGGCGCCCCCGCTCAGACGTAGAAGAGTGGGGCGGAGAAGGCGGCAGTATATCGCCGCCCTCCCCCCCCCACAATAGCCCTCTGGTGATGGACACGGGGGAGTCCATCACCGGCGACTGAGGGTTGCCTCCCCCCCGAGAGGGAGCTGCCTCGGCAGCTGGCGCAGACGGGGCCGCGGACGAGAGCGAAAGCGTGCCCGTGGTCCCGTCCCGATGCGTTGGAGGAACAGAGGGGTTAAAAAAAAGGTTTCATCATGGTATTGTAACATTTTAGAATTTTGATGAGTTGCCCATACTTTTGTAACTTGGTGCCGTGGTAATCTTCATGGTAATGTTCTAAAATGTAAAGGAAACAGTCAAAGTAAATTATTTTTTGTGCTTAAATTTTTTTTTGGTCCAAATTTAAACTGTAATTAATATCTATGTCTCTTAGGTAGCTAATACAAAAATAATTCTAGGAATATCTCCATATTTGTAGCCACAGTGTCTAATCATATGGTCGAGGGTATCAAATTATAAGAAAAGTTTAAAAAGTTAATCAAACTTTTAAACAAAAATAGTTGGATTTTTTTGAGAATTTTCCCCGTGTGGTTATCGATCTGGCTATACACAATTACCGTTTTATATTTGAATTTTGAGACATGACGTATACGTATATGGTACATACATCAGAATAACATTTTTTTTGAATTTTTGACTGTCTGTCTTTCTGTTTTTTCGCGGCTAATCTTGGTAATGGCTGGAAATATTTTGATGGGACTTTTCTTGGTTGGTAGCTTTTAGAAAAATAAAGTAATGTTGCAATGTTCAAGTACTCTCTAGTACCGTATAGCTCAAAGAAAGTATTCCACGAGGACGAAGTCGCAGGCACAGCTAGTTTTATAAAAAGGGAAACCTTAGAATATTGTTTTGGTCCCTATTTTCTCACTGTAGTTCTTAAAACAAAGCGAAAACTAGAAAATATCGATTTTTCAACTTCCATATTACAAAACTCTTAGTATCGGTGACAGATTATATTCGATTCTACATGATCAAAACTAACATACCATGCTTTAATAAAAGCCTAAACCATAAGAAGTGTTAGTAAATTGCAAATATCCTACTGTTTTGATTAAAGAAAAATGCAGATAATTTTATAGTTTATATTTCAAACCTTAAAGACAATAAATATAAAGAATAAAATAACTTTATTCATTTTTATATATAACCAATAATTGTAATACAATCATTAAAATATTTCATTTGAAATATTTGTTTACATTAAATTTATGTTCCAAGAGGGTTTCCAAGCCAGGGGTACACTCGAGGGCAGGTATTGCAAACTTGCATCCAGTAATCCAACTGAAAAAAATATCATGTCAATATAGCTTCAGTTGATGGAACTACGAGAAAGAAGAAGAAAAATATAGGTCACACGATTAGACATTAAAATTTGATGGCTTAGCAGACGCGTACCTTTAATTGTGAGATAAGGAAAAGAGAATATTTCATTTTATTATGTCCCAAGTTAAGTTTTCTTCCTTTATATGCCACTTTTAATTACAAATTCAATATCCATATCCTAACAATTTCTCGGGTACCTATCCACTACTTATAAAGAAATATGTCAAAGATTGGAATAAGTTTATTTTGTCTTCATTATAATTATGAATTACCCCATTGTGTTCGGATCTGAGTGGTCCACAGCCAGTCATACGGCAAGGAGTTGATGAGAAACGTCTGCATGGTCTTCTGATGTATTCCGAAACGGGTATCGGATTTTGTACCCATTCAATAATTTGGTTCGCATTTACCTGATAAATAAATTACAATTTGCTATTTAACTATGTCATTAAATTTCTTTCTTGCAATCCAATATCATCAGATAACTTCTCTATTTATAATGGATCAAATACTGATGGGTCGTTGAAATACTTACCGTGAGTTTCAGAGACCAAAATCGGTGTATAAAACACAACGTCATCCCTGTCATTATCTTTGACAAAACAGAGATAACAATAAGTTTTAGACGGGAATTATGATATCAGAAACTCACAGTTAGACTATAAGTTAACTTTTCTTTTCTTCATTCTTTGCTTCAGAAATAGAATTACATAAAAAAAACAATTTTGGAGTTGTATCCCAGTCTTACCATAAATGCATCATTCAAATTGTTCACGTAGTTCATGAATCTAACAAAGGCTGCTTTGACGGCAGGGTTAACAGCCAGGTACCATTCGTGTATGTAAAAACCAAAAGGTGCTCGGTTACCGCGGTAGTGCCTCTCAAAGTTGGTAAGGATGAAATTGTACCATGCATTCTCATCATCTAGAGGAGGACTGTAATAATAATAATCTTCATTGTATCATGATACACAAATGACTACGTACTGGAGGACCAAAAATCAAAAGCCATAAACTAGCAGTGTAGACTAGATCTAGAACTAGCAATATAAATCTTACGTGAAGAAGCAGCTGTCAGCCATCGAGCAAGGAGATCCATTTAAATCGGACCAGCTAATCATTGGCATGACCCATGGACCTGGAATGGATGCGGATGGGCATGGCGGCACAACACAGTCCTGAATTGAAGCGTAGTCGAGGGTATAAGGCCAAAGTCCTGGGTTAACGTGGCTAACAGTCGGCCAGGAGTTGTCATACACGAGACCAGAATCTGCCATCACTTGGAAGCTCGCGTTACCACTCATTTGCAGGAAGGGAAGACGTACACCTAAAATTAACAGACCACAATTTCTAATATGTACATCAGAGGTAGGCCAATTAGTTTCACCTGTTTAAGAGTTCAAAGAAACAGAAGTGTCGATTCAGCTGAAACATAAAAAAAACGATATGAATTATATTATATGAAAGACCTACCTCTGATTTCTTGCTCAGGTATCAACGCGAAATGTGACATTTGCCTCTTTTGGTCTGCTAACTCCTTTACCAATACATCGTAGTCGGCTTCCGCCCAGTAAGTTTGCGGAGTTTGATGTGTCATCGAATGGAGTGATACCTCATAACCACGGTTGTACAATTCATTGACAAGAACGTAGTTGGTGTACTCATGGCTGACGTAGAATGTAGCACCAGCTGGACAGCCATTAGAATTACTACGGCCGTATAGAATTTCTCGGTACGTTTCAATGTTAATAACATTCACTGCGTCATCAAATGTTACAGACACGAACTAAAAAAAGAAATTGGTTGAACAAAAATGAACCATGGTCCCACCTGATTAGTTTAATGAGTGCTTTATTCACTCTACTCTTGAAAGCGCCTATACTTGTATCAAGACGTCCGCTGAAATATCGCCATCAAGATTTAAGTACCTTCAAGATATCCTAATTAAAATTTCTTCCCTTCAGGATGGAACAAACTTTTTGGATATAAATATTTATCGATAAAGAAGATATCCATCTATTAATTCTTAAAAACTAATTATGAAGATAAGGTATGATTTGTTTTTGATTTCGATAGATAGATAAGATGCACAAATGCAATAGTTATGTACATGTAATGAACTGATTCGTAATATCTATGAATCATTACCGTATTCAATAAAAAATGCAATTAACCTATTTTTAAAAATATAACGTATAAAATTTCTTCCATATTTTACCAGATCAAAGAAAATGGCGAAGGTATAAGTTTTGTGAACCAAAAGTTTTAAAAACGAAAAAAATGGTAATGCAGCTTTGTAGAAATAATAAAATTCTTTCCGTACCTGAGGGACATCTCTAGGTGCTAATCCTCCTGGTACATTAGTTGAAGAGCATCTACATCTTGGCAAAAGACATTTAGTTTCATCACATTCTGTAGCTAATGGTAATTCAGCTGCAAGAGCCACCGCAGACAAAGACAATAGTAAAATTAAACGCATGTTTTCTTATCAACTACAAATTTCAATATAAGTTAGTTTGTCTTCAGCTTCAATATTTATAGCTATTGTTTATCAGATATGTACTGCTTTTAGTCAAATGTTTTCTACAAGCGATTACAGATGACAAATTATTTTATCGCGATATCCAGGTGTAGTTTATTTTTCTGCCTGATGTAGCATCAGTATGTGTCACATTCGTAAGGATGATTTCATCGTCATCATCATCAACCTGCCCTTATTCTTATTGCGGTTCGGCACAGTATGTACTACTCCTCCATACATCTCTATCAGCCGTCATATCCGAATCTACCCTCTTCCTACGCATATCGATGGCTGGCAATCCACAACCGTGCGGTTTGCGCGAAATTTCCTGCCTCGCAGAGCAGAGTTGTGGAATGGTCTTTCCTCGGTAGTATTTTCAAACCGCAATGACTAAGGGTCCTTCAAGAAGCGAGCGTATAACCTTCTCAAAGGCCGGCCGCGCTCTGCGCTTTCTCTGGTATTGCTGATGTCCATGGGCGTCGTTGAACATGTATTCCAACTGCTCGTTTGTCCCCTTCTATTATAAAATATCCTTTTTCTTCCAATAAAATCCATCCATACTTTTTTGGTCTTCCTCTACCTTTGTAGCCATCTACATTCAATCTCATTACTTTTCTGCTTATATCTTCATCATCCCTCCGCATAACATTTCCAAAGCAAGCTAATCTTCTACTCCCATTTTTCGGTCACTGGCGCTAATTTCAAACTTCTTCTAATATACATTCTTAACTTTATTTATTGTTGTAATTTTATCTTAATATAAAGGCTGAATTGGAATACAGTCTTATTCAGTTTTTGCTTCATTCAATGTATTAGTTGTAACTACTAATTTATTGAAAATACTTGAAAATAATATTTTGATACTAAAATTCGGTTGAAAATACGGATCGAATTACACCACATTTTCCAAATGTGTCAACCTTTTAGTCACATCTGTCCGAAAGATTGTCAACCTTAAAATTCGATAGTATATACGATAGTGGATAATTTGGGTTTAAATATGGTGAAAATATAATTCGAATAGATATATTTTGTGCAATTTTTGATCACAGAAATCTTTAAATGCATTAGATTAACATTTTTGATTTCTTATTACAAAGGAAATTGATCGTGTGATAAATTCTTTGAAATATTTGCCGCCGCATGATTAACACTTATTATCGATTCAGTAATTTTATTTGGAAATTTAACATCGCTTTAAACGTTCGAGAAAATGTATTACATTTTATATTTAACTAGCTGTCGCTCGCGACTCCGTCTGCGTGGATATATAAAAAAACCTAATATAGATAAGTTAAATAAAAAGCAGCGCTTCAAGGCATAAATTCGAGAAAAAAAAAGAATTAATAGTACCCTATGTTCCGACTCCTGGCTCTAAGCTACCTCCTCACCAATTTCCAGCCATATCGGTAAAGCCGTTCTTGAGTTATAAATAATGTAACTAAAACGACTTTTTTTTTTTTATAACAGAAGGGGGCAAACGAGCAGCGGGAACAACGAAGTGTTCAACGACGCCCATGCACATCAACAATACCAGAGGAACCGCAGATGCGTTGCCGGCCTTTGAGGTGGTGATAGACTCGCTTCTTGAAGGACCCTAAGTCGTATTGGTTTGGAAATACCGCCGAGGACAGACCGTTCCACAACGC